ATAAATTTATTATCGTTTTCCAATCTAGAAAAATCAGCGTATTCATAACTCATGTTTAGGCTATTGTATATCTTTTGAAGCTCACTTTTGAGAAAATTCGATCTGGTAGTCATAATTTTTATCTAAACGTTATATAAAATGAAAGAAACTTATTGTATCGTAGATAAAAGAGTAACTCCTTGAACAGAGCCAAGTGGTTACCAACAAGATAAAAGAGGTAGAACTCAATTCTTTTGTAGATGCGCAGTTTGTGGAAATAAAAAAGTAAGATATGTTAAAACGGGAACAGCTTCTCAAACTGGAAGTGGAAAAAGAAAGTCAAAAAACTAATTAGCCCGTCTGAAGGGGCGGGCGTCTTTGATACAGTTGTTGGTACAGCAGTTGATGGATTTGTACATTACGGGCTTCCTTGGATGGGTAAAAAAGCAGTTGAAATGGGGCGATATGGAGCAAGTGAGTTAATGAAAAACAAAAATCTTCAGAAGAAAGCTGTAAATTATGGAATTAATAAACTCACTCCATTTATTCAAGATTCTGTTGGAACAGCCATGGATGAACTATCAACAAAAGTGAGGCCAAATAAAAAGTATAAAACTGACAGACCAGAATTAGACCGAAGGATTGGAAAAGGAATTGATGTTCACAAGCAAATTGGTAAATTGCCAAAACCAAAAGGTGGATGGACATTGCCAGGGCATAAATATACAGGCCCTTATAATGATCTTGAGAACCAAGTAAGATATGATCCGGAAACCGGAGAAATATTAGAAATTTATGATCAACCAACTGGGCCAACCGATGCTGTTGCCATGCAGCATGATGTTGATTATAGTGTTTGTGGTGATGACCGAAAGTGTAAAAATAAAGCTGACATCAAGATGGTAAAATCGTTAGATGCTATTCCTTGGAAAGAAAGACAATGGGGCCATACTTTGGCTAGAACAATAATTAATACTAAACAAAAACTTGGTCTTGGTTTAAACGCGAGTCGGCGTTGAGTAGTGATTGGTCTCAACAATTAGCCGACGAACTTCACAAACCAATCACAAGAAACTTTCAAAAAAGATCAGTAATCTCAAACGGGATTGATGAAATCTGGGCTGCTGATTTAGTTGAAATGCAAAAGTTTAGTAAGTGGAACAAAGGTATTAAATATCTCTTGATGATTATTGATGTGTTTAGCAAGTATGGATGGATTAGGGGGCTGAAAGATAAGAAAACTGAAACTGTAAGTAAAGCATTCGAGAATGTATTCAAAAGTAAACGTAAACCTCAAATGTTATGGACTGATAAAGGTTCTGAGTTTATCAGTAAACATTTCAAAGAGTTTCTGAAAAGAGATGGAATTAAACTGTATCACACTGAAAACGAGGAGAAATCTAGTGTTATTGAGCGATGGAATAGAACAATGAAAAACAGAATGTGGAAGATGTTTACTGTGAACAACAACACTGTTTACTGGGATAAGATAGATAAACTAGTTGATGATTACAATAACGCTAGACATTCAAGTATAAAAATGACTCCTGTTGAAGCAAGTAAAAAGAAAAATGAAAATAAAGTTTGGTCTAATTTATACGGTGATTTAATCTACTTGAAACCTGGTAAACCAAAGTTTGCAATTGGTGATAAAGTTAGAATCTCAAAATATAAGAGAAAGGTATTTGATAAAGGTTACACACCAAACTGGACAGAGGAGATATTTGTGATTGATAAAGTTCTGCCAACAAAACCTGTTACATATTCTATTACTGATTTGATGGGAGAAGAGGTTAAGGGATCTTTCTACGAGCAAGAGTTACAAAAAGCAAAACAGCAGACATTTAGAATAGAAAAAATTATTAAGAGAGATAATAAGAAGAAAATGGCATTAGTAAAATGGAGTGGTTATCCTGATAAATTTAACTCATGGGTAAGTTCTAAGGATTTGGTTAATTTTTAATACAAATAATGTATTAAAAATAAAATCCTATTCACTCATCTTTCTCTTCATCAGATAAAGTTAAATCTTCAACTAATTTCTCTATATCCTCTTCATTATCGCTTTGCTCTTCATTATCGCTTTGCTCTTCATTGTCGCTTTGCTCTTCATCTTCCTCTTCAACTGTTAGTAAAGACTCTCTAGGTTTGAGCGGTTTAACATAGCACTCGTGAACTTTTATTTGTAAAGATGTCACAGTTTTACTTATAAAAATTCCTTCTATTATCAATGCCAATTTCGCATTACAATACTGGTTGATGAGTTTAAAAGGATTTAGATCCTTTCCCCCCTTTCCCTTAAACAAAGATAACATTTTCTTTGATTTTTCTGAGTAAATAAGTTTTGCATAAAGAACTGGTGCAGATGAGGGATCTTTTCTAGTTTTCTTCTTTCCTTTTTTATCAGTGTACTCTTCTTGTTTGTAATATAACGGTGGGGAAAGAGATGAGGCTAAATCTGGTCCGTATTCATTCTCTAAATGTTCTATAGACAAAGATGTTAGACTATTAATAGCACCATAAAACGCTTTTTCTTTTTCATTTGGTTCGCTATCTTTTGCCCAAAGACATACTGGCATACTATATCCTACTAACTTTTTTGTTTCTTGATTTCTCTTTTCATTTACTCCAAAACTAAAAAGAAATGGGGTTTCGATTACAAGTCAGGGGCGTAGCCAGGATTTTTCCAGAGGTACGCACATTTTTTTCAAATCTCCCTCCCCCCTCCCCCAACTCCAAATTTGACCGGCAGAAGCACTCACATAGACATAATTAGCTCTCCTTTGTCTGCTGCGAAGACAGGCCTGAGTGAAAATGACGTGTTCGCGTTTTATACCGTCCCGCTTGTTATCTGAGCGCATCTTTAAGTATATCATTTAAGATTCAAACGAAAACCGACTTTTAATTCTGATGTGGGAGAAAAGAGTCCGACTTTCGGGTTTGAAAAAAAAAAATAGTCCGTAAGGAAAAATACTCCAAAGAATCAAAAAGAGTTAAACGGAATTGAGGCAATTTATATTGTCGTTGTTGTCTTAACTTTTAGACTTTCTTTGTTTAATTATTCTCTTTTTTATGTTATCTTCTTTCATGTTATTTTTTTTACCCGTGACTTTTTCATGTACGCACTTGCGTACCGTGCGTACAGGTAGTTACGCCCCTGCAAGTGGTCCTTTTTTGTTGTTTTGGTATTTGATTTCAATTGGTATACGCTTGTATTTAATGTTACTATCTTTTACTTTTGACTCTTTTGCTTCTTTAAAAATAACGGTGTCTTTGGTTAAATGATCGTAGATGGATAACTGCATTATATGGTATTTATGAAACTAAATTCTTAAATCTCAATTTTATTTACCATAAGAGTTTAGTAGTCCAATAATTTGGAGACACTCTTATTTCATGAGTAAGTTCACCCTGTCGATTTTTAATTTTAGTAGCACGAGATAAATATCTGTCTCTTCTCTCTTCATCTTTATGAAAAAGGAAATCCGGATATTTAGGCGAACCAAAATGTACTTTCTTTCCCTCTGGTAACGTCACCATATACTTATTATTCTTTCTCGTAGAATAATCAAGAGTTTCAGCACCAAGTTTTTGTGCCTTACGTGTTAACTTTTTAAAATCTTTTCCTGTTACCAAATACTTCTCGTTATCAGGAACATAATCTGGATCGTCATAATATTTGTAACCGTCTTCAACTATAAAATTCTCATCTTCTAAAGTAGGAGTAGACTCTCTTGATCTAAAAGAACAACGGCTAGACACTGAACTAAGAGAAGACCTACTTGAACAGCTACTAGATAAACTAGATACAGAACTTGTAGGACTAGATGCGGGAGTACTGCCACACGAACTGGAATCATTCATTTTATTTATAATTAGATAATCTTATAACAAAAATGTTATAGGATTTTAGTGAAAGAATTCTACATCTAATAGTGTATTAAATTTGTCTGCAAAATGTAACTCTGTGAGACAATCTTCATCTTTCATCATACTAAATTCTGTAATGTTTGGGAATATTATTTCAATATTCTCATACGCTTCATCATAAGATTCATTTACTTTCACTTTATCGTAATTACTGAAAAATGCCTTCATATCCATTATTCCAAGTGCAAATAGACCGATAATCTTTTTAGCACTTTTATCAATTGCTTTGAGTTTTTTATAAGCAACTTCACTCTCAAATACTAAACCGTGTTTTGTGTAAGGTTTGATACTATATTTCGCAAACCTTTCATCTTCACTGTTACTTTGCGAGTTATTTGCGTTACTTGCGGATTTGACTCTCATCTTATATAATTTCTTTGTAATCTTTAAGCTTAAATTCAATTTTATTTTTTCTGACGTGGGGTTTAGAATATGGGATAATTTGAGTATCCGGTAATAACAGGAATTTGTAGATTTGTGTTATTTTGTGTTATTTTAGAGTAGTTATAGAAATATACTCTTTTAGCGGTTTGCCGTTTTTCATATGGTGGGGCGCGCATTTTAAAGAAATGCGGGCACCAGGTGTGAAATTTGGTATTTCGCTAGAAGGTATATTTCTATAACTACTCATTTGCTCATCAATACTCATTTGGGTCTCATTGGAAAAAGCAGACAAGTCATGTCCTGGAGAATAAGACAATAAGATTTTAAAACACAGACAGAAAGCAACAACACCCAGTCTCCATACTTTGAGAGTGAATGAAATCTCTCGGTAGAGGGACGCTATTTAGAAGGTCGCAAACGTGACAAGATTGACATCATTGACCCAAGCGTAAACTATGTAAGGACGTGATGATCTGCACTTGCCCGCTCCCTAGGGAGAAGCATTGACGTCATTGCCCGATTCCCTTAGGACCTTACTGCTTCATAAAATAATACATGTTATATGAAAAGAATCATTATGTGCAAACTTCAAGAACCGACTGTTCAGCAATTGCAACAAGTGAGAATGTCAAAGCCACAATCCTCTCAACTCATTTACACTATATTTGGTTCTTCTGATGAAGAGTCCTTAACTACTCCTGAACAAGATGCAGCAATTGGAAAAACGAATGATGGAACCTCAAGTACTAATTCAAGGAAGCAACAAACTTCCCAAAGGCAAGAAAACCAAGAAAACAGTGAACCCTAAAGCAGTGACTGATGATCCACCATATGCTGGAGATGAACTACGAGTCATTCCACCTCAGCCAACAGTGCCCACAAACCTTCTAATGCCTGGCCCGTCATCAGCAGGACAACTAGCAGAGTTTCCTGATCAACTCGTGTCTCTTCCAAGCTACGAAGAGATGACAATGGATGACATGTTTAATGGCGGACCTAGGTCAATGGAAAAACAACCTGACCTAGCACCTGAGCAAGTGTTGGAAGAGGGAGTGGCAGTGACCCAAGATGGGCGAACCGTGGAATGGTGGTCTGTGGAGGAACCAGTGGCTCAGACAGAGGTCTACGAGTATTTCAAAGATGAAAACAGACCTCTGCATACCAACTTTGTCCTTCCTAAACAAGGGCAATACTCTACCTGCCTTGTCTTTTTTGGAAGTGTTGAGAGCAAGCAGATTGTGGCTGAAGCCTTATGTAACGGCATACACACCAAAATACTCCATCAATGGGGAATCCTTAGCTGTGAATGTGGGTTAGTGCCCAAATTTCAGTTGAGTTCGACACCCAGAAACGAAAACAAAGTCTTCCTAGGCTGTCCTCGAGAAGCCAGATGTGGGTATTTTCAGTGGATCCATCAGGCCCCCAAACCAAACTATGTGCCCAAGACAGCAACCCGAGCAGCCCTCAAGAAACGACTGAATGACATGGTCAGTGAAAAAATGACCTTTCAGAAAAGGCAGAAAACCGAAGGAGGATTTCAATTTCCTTAAACATTGTGAAAAAGGTTGTTTTTAGTTTATGAAAGTTGTTTTTGCCTACGTGATGTCATGTTGTTTGTCTTGTCTTGCCCCTTCCCTTGGGAAGGTCATTGATGTCATGGCCCAGACTTGCCCGCTCCCTAGGGAGGGATTGACGTCATTGTTCAACAAGAGATTTTGTTGTAAAATAAATGGCAAGCACTGATCAATTATCAGTCATCACCATGGACTTGAGCGTAAAGCAACCTTTAACCACCGAGTTTCTCCTAGTATTTGGAGACCAAGAGAAACCTTGTCCCTCGTTTTATGGGAAAGAAGATAAGAAGAAAGTCAGAGAGGTCCTTCAACAAGAGATTCATCCTGAAGTGCATGCCAAATGGGGTGACATGAAGTGTCATTGCCAACTGATTCCCAAGATTCAGTTAAGTAAAACCGCCAAAAATCTCAACAAGGTGTTTCTCACCTGTGGTGGTTCGGCTATAGAATCTTGCTGTAAGTTTTTTCAGTGGATCCACACACCATTGTATCCCATGCCAGGTGATCCAATGCCAGACTGGTTTCGAAAAAAACAAACTGACAAGAAACCTTGCAAACCAAAACCTCTCAAATCCTACAACCAAGAGAGTCGAACATTGTTGCAGCAAGCAGAGCAAAATGTATAGTAGTGGAAAAAGTAACAAACTGAACAAGCCTGGCTCAATCAGTTTGCTGAAAGCACCCGTAAGCAAAACGAATGATGGGAAGCCAAGAAAAAGGCCCCCATGCTACCAAGTACCTTTCATTGAGGTCCCGAGATTGCCAAAATATATAAGAAAACAGATGCGTGGAAAGACATCCAAGCCATGGGCAACAACGAGTTTCAAGCATATAGAAATTGTAAGAAACATGCTGAGTGGAAACCACCGCTGGGGTCAGAATCATTTGAGAAGAACGAATCCTTTGGAAACTTACCTCTTAGTGATGCAAGTTTAGCTTCCTATTTATGAAAGAGAAAAAACCAAGGCAAAACCTTATCCCCTGGGGATGAAAAGTTTTTTCAAGCATGCCATCAGCAGTGCAAACCTGTCACAGTATTTTGGCCTCAAAACGAAGCAGCTATTCCCGACTTTGTGAAGAAACCCTGGCCCTTTGGTGACTTGCCGGGAAAAGTCTGCAGTTTGGCCTCCTATTGCCGTAAACGAAAACAGCAAGGGTTACTGTTAACCCCAGCTCAAGAACGGTTTTTTCAACATTTAGTGGATGTGCAGAAAGATGTCAAAAACGAGGGTCCAACTATGGTGTTGTTTTAAACAATAAAAAGTGTGAAATGGCAATGTGTGGTTCTTTGTCTCTAGGGTTAGGGTAATATGCAAATAAACCGTAGTCCCAAGGGGTTAGGGTTAGGGTTATTAAGCAACCCAATCTACTCCATGTAGTTTTATTGTGAGGTCATCATCATGTCCGCTAAAAGGTTGTAAGAGATGACTCAAGCTTGGCATGATTGTGAAGTTGAATTGAAACAACTCTGAGCCCTTTTACAGGTCCAAGATAAACAAATTGAAGTCATGAAAGGACAAATCACTGCATTATAAACAGGTAATGCTTAATTGCGGTACAAGGTGCTCTGTCCAAAGTGTCAAAGATATATTGATCAAAAACAACCTGGAGATACCATTTTGGCCTTGCCATGTTCTGCATGTATTGGGACTGAAGGGTACCAAAAACGGGGGACAACAAGTATAAAACAAAGCCACAGACGGATTGGTAGGCATCGTTCAGCATGGAAGCCTTAGAGTATAGATGGAGGGAGTGGATCTGTCAAAACTAGCCCAAGACAGACCCATTCCAGAGGACCTATGTCCACCTATTTCCTTATTTGAGTATATGACGGAGACACATCAAAGCTGGGGTCGTTACGCTATTTACATCACCTGGTTGCATCGTCATTTTCCCTCTCAGGGTTCATGGATTTTTCGCTGTTTACAGACACACTATTCTTCATGAACGTATTCATTGTCATATTTGCTAGCTCAGTGGTTCATGTATCATGGCATAAAAACTGTTAAAAGCCTATGTCGATCCTTCCCAACCTGGCTTCGTTAGGAGGTGTGACTAAATTTCCCAAAGCCCATGAGTCGCCCAGTCCAAAGCCCGTCAAGTGTTAGAAACTTTCTTGAGTTACACGTTACACAAGCCCCGACATCGCCATTTTCCTACCTTACCCGTCATGGCCTTTTAAGTCGATCAACAGTGGGTGATGGACCTAATGGACGTTCAGAAATTAGCCAAATGGAATAAAGATCGTCGCTAACCGTGGTGGATGTCCTGTCCAAATATGCCTGGGCCATTCCCATTAAAAACAAAACCGGTGCGGTGATGGTTCAAGCGTTACAGATGTTATGGAAACAAGCTAGTCCCAGACAACCTCAACGGGTGCAATCAGACGACGGGACAGAGTTCATGAACGCTAAGGTGCAAGCCTTTTTTAAACAACATCAAGTTGATCATTTTTCCACCCAAGGTGATACAAAAGACGCCCTAGCAGAAGTGCTGATTAAAACCTTAAAAACCAAACTGCATCGTTATTTTACTGCTGCCAATACCCTCACCTGTTTGAAAGCCCTTCCCACCATTGTTAAGCAATACAATCACACGGTCCATTCCAGTATTGAAGAAAAACCTGTCCATGTGACCCCGGACAATGAATATGTTTCAAAAAGGGTATTTGCCTGGTTGGACAGAAGAAGTATTTTTAGTCCATGGGATTTCAACCACCCGCACCGTTGTCACCTACATCCTCACAGAATGGAATGGAACACCTATAAAAGGCACGTTTTATGAACAAGATGTTCAAAAGGTGGTACTCCCCGATGAGGCATTATTTCAGGTGGAAAAAGTGTTAAAACGAAAAGGAAATCAAGTGTTTGTTGCGTGGAAAGGGTGGCCCAAAGAGTATAACAGTTGGATTTGGAAAAAAGACTTGCAAGTACCATGAATGAATTTCGTATCACTCACATCAGTGATCCCACTGATGAATTTCCCAACAATAAAAACAACAATTTTAAAGTCCGTTTACCCACCATATTAAATTTACCGTGAGACACTTGGCAAGTGAGTTTATGGAGTGTCTCCGTGGCTGAGTAGGGACATAGTCCCACCATTCTTTCCTCTAATCAGGATAAAGGGTTAATCAAATATTGTTATACATTCACCCAATGTTATCAAGCAGCGGATAATTCATGGTTGGTGGAATTTAAAGCCAAAGACAAAGAGGTGACCTTAAAGGACGTGATGGGAAACGATTTTCCAGTCACCTCAGGTATTGCTGGTTTTCATTGTCACGTCATTCAAAATAGATCAAAATAAGATAAAAATAGATCAAATCGTTCAATAGATAAAGTCCAGAATCTTTGAAATGAAAGGAGGTACATATACAAAGATCCTCGCCAAGATTCAGATCAGAGGAATATTTCGTATGCGAGATATCCTAAGAAACGTTTTACCCACATTTCTAGAGATTTGTACGGAGATGCCATGCTGGTGCTCACCTAGATGAGCTCCAACATGGCGGACAGAAACCAACAGAAACATCTGTTACCGAGTTTTGCTACACAAGCATGAAATTATTGTTTGAGAAACTCATAAACATTTAAGTAATACTTTTTCTAATACATGAACTGTTTAGATAGCAAACTTTTCCGAAATAAGTCATTTTTTAAACCTACACGACACCTCTCTTGGCCGTCATGTAAATGCCGCGTCACGCAAAAGCTTAGAGATTTATCAAAAAAAATTAAGAACAACATTGCAGAGTCAGGTTATTTTTTGGAATTCCTTTATCAAACATTTTACAAATATAGGAGCCCAAGGGCCTGTTTGTTGGAGGTTGGGCTGGCACTAACCCAGGATGTTTACTATGGTAAATTTTTACAGAGTCAACCCTGGGTGAAAGCTACCCCAATCTAACATGACTGAAAGAAGATACCCATGCTTCTTTTAGAGATTTTGCCTTGATGATGCTCGAAATTGGCTCAATTTCTAGAGTGGACTCACTTGTAAGAAATACTATGAGCTAATTACATAAAAGCACAGCTAACCAAACAATAGAAAAGAATAGACCTAGCTATAAATACTATTTTTAAGATTTATTTTGTGCGTTTAGTGACTGTACATTAGGGGAAAGTTTGGGCATTTAGGCCCCTTTGTACAGAAAAACATCTGTCTATTAGCAAAAACAATGTTTTATTTCTTCATGAAACTTTACAAAACTCTCTGTAGAAAAGAAATATAATTACATCCATCAACACTGCTCTTTTAGATAACTAAAATCATAATAAAGGTCAACTCAACAAGTTCAGGGCTCTTCCACATTCATAAGGTTCGAGCTTAATGCTTTTTTATATTTTCCATCAATGCCATAAATACCTGGTTTTGCTGTTGAAGCTGCTGCTGTTGCTGCATCGTGTTGATCAGCGCTGAGAACATGGTCTGTTGCTGCTGCGCAGCCCCCTCTTGTCTAGTTTCTGCTAGATCGAGCTCTCTTTTTCTGATGGCTAACTCTTCCTTTTTCAATTCTCTCTCTTTCTCTGACTTCTCGGCGAAAAATCCGATTGCATCAGAGGTGCTCCTTCTCAATTTAGCTTTTTTTGGCTTCTCGCCACTATCATCGCTCTTTGTAATTGCCATTGTCTGAAGAGCCGCCTGTCTGATTTCCTCTGCTTTAGCTTTTTCTTTCTCATCTTTTGCCTTCCTCTCGTTTCTCAGGGCGTCACTCTTTTCTTCTGCGCTTTTCTCTCGCTCTCGAATTTCCTCCAGCAAGGCATCGAGCTCTGTGAGCTCGGGGACATCGATCCTAGATGCTTTCTCTTCTTCTCTTTGCTTTAGTTTGTGCCGGGAGACCAGGAGTGCATATCGATCTCTCACTGCCCTTGCTGTAACCCTGAATTCTGGAGTCTTCAGAGAATTCAAATAGGTTGCGATGCTTTCCCATACTTTTCCTCTCTCGCTGCTTTTCGGTTTAAAATTGTAAGGTTCGCTTGTTACAGCTTCGCGAAGCATCAAGACATCATGGTCTTCCTTCCAAACAAAATACCTGGACTTGCTCACTGTCAAAAGACACGAAAATATATATTTTTACAGCAAAACTGAAGATTTATATCTTGAAGTGCAACTTAAAATTAGCACAATGACATGCAGGTCTAAAATAAGAGGAACATGACTTGAAATATCCCAAAATTCTCCTTAAAGAGATCAGTACAGAAAAACTTACATTTCTTTTGAACGAGTTCTTGCTCGGCTGTAGAAATGTGGCCGGCCATGGTTTCGGATGCTTCTGAAAGAAAGTCATTTTAGTCTGTTAAAAAGAGCTAAACTGTTAAACATTTGACTTCCGCTGGTCCGCAAATAATACATGAAAGAATCATTATAACAAAAGGTGGAAACAGATGATTATCAGCATGAAAAAGTTTAGTTGTTTACTTACGTTTTCACCAGAGCGAAAACTTGTTCAGATTCAGTCGTCGACGAAGGCTGGACGACGTTTTGACAACCAAACGCATGCCCAGAAGGTTCGCGCGGGAAAATTTCACTTCCGGTCGGCGTCGTCGTCCCATTTCGTCGTCGATGCTTAAGGTCCCTAATTTCCGTTATTATGAAATTCTACGTCCTCTTTCGCGTTAATTTT